AAGGCGGAGGGGCGGGGCCCGAGCGGGGCGAGGGTGCGCCGGGAAGCTCCCCCTTCTCCCAGCGGGACTAGAGCACGTGTGAGCTCCTAGAAGACAGAGGTCATCTGTCATTTCTCACCGACACGTGCTAGGCGCTTTTTTTTTTTTTTTTGGTAGAAAATATGAAACCGTCAGTTCGCCAAGCGGTGGAGTATGAGTGAATAGTCTGTTCTTATTCCACTGATCAGCATCGAAAGACCCGAAAAACTATCATAAAGCAGCAAAGACCTTTTGGATATATTTCCTTTATGTTGAAACGGGAAGTGAGGCCGCTGGCCAAATGGCTCTAACTCTTTTCATTCTTGGAGACGTGGTTAGTGTAGTTTTTTTACACCCAGATATTCAATCACTCTTTTCCTTGTGACTTTGAAATGCTAAAAATCCACCTTTTCTTCTAAACCTGCATCTTTGCCCCAGTTTTCCTAGGCCAAAACCATAACACAGCCTTTATCCCTTTATTTCTCGTATCAACTATAAGTCATATTATGGTTGACTTTACCTCCATATCACTAAAATCTTTTCACTTCTCTCCATCTCACATACCTTAATTGGAATTACTGTATTGCTTTAATTCAGGCTACCATCAAGAGCTTTCCTATGGTGCTTTACATAAAATGTCATTTAACCTTCACAGCCTTTAAGATATCCTTGTTTTTGTAGATGAGAAAGTTGAGGCACAGAGAGGATAAATAACTTGCCAAGATTACACAGTGTAAGTGGCAAAACTAGGATTAAGTTACTTAGATAAGTCTTCCTCTAGGACCTATGATCTCATCCCCATGTTTCTAAGGCACAATTGGCTAAAGTAAGACCTATAAATATTGAAAAGAGAAAAAGATACTAATTACTTGCAGATGATAGGATCATCTACAAAGAAAAAGAACAGGAATCAATCAATAAACTTACAATACGTAAGAGAAATCAGCAAGATAAATACTCACAAAAAGGACAGTAGCAACATGTAAAAATCCAATAGCAGCCATCAGTTTGAAAATTTTACTGAACTACTTTTATGTCATCCTTTTATGACACTTAAGGATTTTTGCCAAATTGTCAGGTGAAGATGGTATTGCAATGTGGTTATGGTGAGTGTCTGTGAACTATTACTCATTCATATCCTTTGCCCATCCTTCTCTTTAAAAATTTAGGATCTCTAGTGAGCAGATATTTTACCCCAATTTGTTATTTGTCTTTTGACTTTGCCTATGGCATTACTTTCTATGCATAAAGGTTTTTGTCTGTTTTAAAAGCAGTCAAATGAATCAATCTTTTATGGTTTCTGGAGGTTTGTTTTTTTTTACTAGTAACTTTATTATGGAATTACTCATTTATTGAGCACCAGCTATGTACAAGACATTATTCTAGGCCCTGGGGATATAGTAATAAATAAAATATATTTTTTGAAAGTCTCATCCTCATGAGATTTATATTCTTGGGGCACAGGTAATATGTAAATATACAGTCCTCAAGTAATGTCATTTCATTCAACGTTGTTTCATTCTAAGGTCCATGAGATGCTGTAGGAACCTAACTCCTGTATATCAGTTAGCCTATGGTAAAATTGATTTCATTATATGCTTCACTGCAGTTCCAAGAGCCTATGGATGATATACTGTACTAGAGGCCTGGTGCACGAAATTCATGCACGGGGCAGGGGGGTCTCTCAGCCCGGCCTGCATTCTCTCCAATCTGGGACCCCTCAGGGGATGTCTGACTGCCAGGGATTGGGCCTAAACCGGCAGTAGGACATCCCTCTCACAACTGGGGACCGCTGGCTCCTAACCGCTCACCTGCCTGCTGGCCTGATCTCCCTAACTGATCTCCCCCACCAGCCTGATCCCCCTAACTGTCCTCCCCTGCTGGCCTGATCATCCCTAACCACCTCTGCCTCGGCCCCGCCACCATGGCTTTGTCCGGAAGGATGTCTGGAAGGTCGTCTGGAAGATGTCTGGTCTAATTAGCATATTACCCTTTTATTAGTATAGATGGTATTGTAGGTGATGATAAATGAAATACAGAAAAATGAAAGTGGGTTAGTTGTATAAGAAGGGAGAATGTATGATGGAAAGGATGTAGATATTTTAAAGAAGGTGGTTAAGGGAAGCCTTATATATTAACATTAATGAGTAATATTTGAGTAGGGACCTGAAAGAGGTGAGGGAGGTTGATATCTAGCTGGAGAATGTTCCATATAAAGGTCCTGCAGTGCAGGAGCTTGGTGTGATTGGGTGGTGGGAATAAAGTGGCCAGAGTGACATTTGGAGTGGAGTAAGAGTAGTCAGGTTTGAGTCGTATTGGGTAGGGTCGGCTGGGGGGGCGGGGGGGCGGCTAAGGCCCAGAGCCTGTATGCTGAGTATGGTAGATACTCAGCATCTGTTGAATGAATTGAATGAGAATGAATGGATAATTTAAAAACCTGCTAATACTTGAGCTAATGTTCGGGGTTATGTAATCTAAAATTCCAGCTTTATTTTTTACTCAAACATGTTGCCATTTACTACTCATAATAATTTTGTACATAATTCTCTGGAAAGAAGGGTAGGTGGAGTAGGATTTGAATTTGGAATTTCTTTGAGGGCAAGTTGAATGTAAGCCAAAGCCGTGGATTTTAATGCTGTGGGATGAACCCTCTTCAGTTTTAAAAAAATCCTCTTGTGTTATTTCATATTTTTGCTACAGAATCGATGATGAAATAGATGATACAGAAGTTGAAGAAACACAAGAAGAGAAAATAAAAGTAAAAGTGGAGTGTGAGCATATTTCCAAAAAAGTAAGATTAAGTTGGCATATTGAAATAACAGCACAATAAACCTTTGATTTTGCAGACCTTGATTTAACGGTCTTTGGATTTAATGGACAAAATTTCTGGTCCATATGTCATGTGAAAATTAATATCCTGTTAATTTTAAAATGTTTAAACCAAGATTTGCTTAAAATTAAATTAATTGGTTATTATTTTTATTAATTCACTGTTACTTTAAACAAATTTTAGCAAATAGGCGATATGTTGGAAAACACACTGTAGTAATTTTGCCAACATAAACAAATATTACATATCTACAGCTATAGTTTACATATTTAAATCTAAGAGTCACTGCTTGTAGCCAATGTTTGGCCATGATTAGAATGTGATCACACCTTATCGCACATGTAATTGGTTCTGTTTTTGAGTGGTGTCACTTTCTGCAATAGTATTAACTCATGCTGTGGGACGTTCCCTTGTGCACTAAGCCACGCCCAGCCATGTGTATTTGTTTGCTCATGGTAACTGGTGAATGCATACATTTAATAAATTTAAAATTACAGTAATACTTTTCTGTGAAATTAAACTTTTCATACTTAATTTTAATTGCATAAATGTGTCTACATAAGTAAACACATTATTTAATATACGAATTTGTTAAACATACTTTATTATATAACGGACTTTCAGCTTTAACAGACACCCCCTCACCTGAATTAGTCTGCTATATTGAGGTTTTACTGTAATGGATATGAGAAATTTTTTAGGGATCCTGTTTGTCTCATTTTAATTAGCATTTGAGACACAGTTACTTATATCAAACCCAGTTACACTTTTTAAAAAATTTATCCTTTAAGGGCTTTGTCATTTAACATGAACTATTTTTAGTGCATTGCATTTATTTTTTTCTATTTCTGAAATGGGTTGTAAAGTGTTTCAAAATTTTCTTCTCGCCCTAACCGGTTTGGCTCAGTGGATAGAGCGTCGGCCTGCGGACTGAAGGGTCCCAGGTTCGATTCCGGTCGGGGGCATGTACCTCAGTTGTGGGCACATCCCCGATAGGGGGTGTGCAGGAGGCAGCTGATCGATGTTTCTCTCTCATCGATGTTTCTAACTCTGTCCCTCGCCCTGCCTCTCTGTAAAAAATCAATAAAATATTTTTAAAAAATTTATTCTCATATTAGATCTAAATTTTAAGGATATTGAATTGCTAATGTAACTAACCTTAGTGATTTAAAGCTTAAAGCTTGTATTCATTTGCTAGGACTGCCATAACAAGGTACCTGGCTGGTGTTGTTAATGGTTAGAGCGTCAGTCATCCTGTGCATCGAAGGGTCACAAGTTTAAATCCCAGTCAGTGCACATACTCAGGTTGCAGGTTCAATCCCTGGTCTGGGCCTGTATGTGAAGCAACCTATCGATATTTCTCTCTCTCCCTCTCCCTCTCTCTCTATAATAAATGAAAAACATATTCTCAGGTGAGAATTTTTAAAAAGTACCACAAACTGGATAACTTAAAAAGTAGAAATTTGCTGACTCATGCTTCTGGAGGCTAAAAGTCTGAGATCAAGGTGTCGGCTGTGAAAGGGAATCTGTTCCAGGCCTTTCCCATAACTTCTGGTGGTTGGCTGGCATCTTTGGTGTTCCTTGGCTTGGCTTCCAGAGCATCACCTGGATCTTTACCTACCTGTTTGAATGGTGTTCTCCCTGTGTGCATGTCTGTGTCTAAATTTCCCCTTTTCATAAGGACACTGGTCTTAAAGGATTATAGCCCACCCTAATACCTCATTTTAATTATACATACAATGCCCTGTTTCCAAACAAAGTCACATTCTAAGGTACTGAGGATTAGGAGTTCAACGTAAGAATTTGGGAGGACACAACCAATAATAAAGCCAATATCTGCTCTTCTTTGCCTCTTTTTCTCTTTCGAACTATTTTTTAAATTATTAATTTCAGCACATTACAAAATAATGGGTTTTAATTGGCAAGGAGACTCACAGACACAAATAGACTATCCTGCAATACTCTTTACTTAGGTTTGTACAAGGATATAAGACAGGAAATACAGCAGGTACAGCATCTTCAGCTCCTCAGGAAGACTCTCAGCTACCCAAGGATGTGACTTCTTTTGCCTTGCTATAGATGAGGGCCAAGATTGACAGGGAGAAATTACAGCTTGGATTGCCGACAATTTTTTTCTACTATTTTAGTCATTTGGGCCCAATACTTCGTGCCCATTTAAAGTCCTCTCATCCATGTATAACACTATACAGGAGATAGGCAGGTACAACATTCTAGGATTATTTTAAGTGGTTTCCAGGAAATAGTACTATGAAAAGATGGACACCTAGATTATTCCTAAGTAGGCTTGCTTTAGCCCAGGCTCTTTACTCACAAGTGTGTAGAATGTGAATGTATCACAGCTGATCAAAAAGAGAGCACCCCGGTCAGCACATTGGAAATCAAGAAAGATCATTACCATCAGAGCCTCTGGTGCCTCCCTTCTCAGCCATCCTCCTTGTTTCTTCTTAGAGGTATAGTCCTAACTTATGTACTAATCACTTCCTTGCTCTTCTTTACAGTTTTACTAATTCTGTCATCCATAAGAATACAGTTTGTTCTTGCCCATTTTTGTACTTTATAGAAATAAGATAGTGCCATGGATGTTCTTTTTCTCAACATTATATGATTCATAGATATTATGGTGTATACTTGTTTGCTTGTTGTCTTAGCTACATAGTGTTCCATTATTTGAACATACTAGATCTGTTGTTGGTAGACTTTTGGTTTGATTCTCATTTTTGGAGATTATGGGCAATACTGCTACTACATTTTCACTTGTATCCTGCTGCATGTGTTCAGTGGTCCCCTTTACCTACAATTTTGCTTTCCTTGGTTTCAGTTACCCATGGTCAGCCATGGTCCAAAAATATTAAATGGAAAATTCCAGAAAGAAACAATTCTTAAGTTTTAAATTGCACGCTGTTCTGAGTAGCACGATGAGACTCAGGCCATCCCGCTCCATTCTGCCCAGGATGTGAAGCGTCTCTTTGTCCAGCTTATCCACGCTGTGTGTAGACACTTCCTGCCTGTTGATTACTTGGTAGCCATTTCGGTTATCAGATCGATTCTTGTGGTATCACAGTGCTTGTGTTCAAGTGATCTTTATTTTACTTTAATAATGGCCCCAAAGTGCAAGGGTAGTGATGCTGGCAATTCGGATGTGCCAAAGAAAAGCCGGAGGTGCTTCCTTTCAGTGACAAGGTATGAGTACAGTATAATAAGATATTTAGAGAGAGAGATCACATTCATAAAACGTTTTTTATAGCAAGTATGTTGGTACAGTTGTTTATTTTATTAGTTATTGTTGTTCATATTTTACTGTGCCTAATTTATAAATTAAACTTTAGCACCAGATAGGCAGGTACCACATTCTAGGATTATCACACGTATGTATTAGTATATGTATATACTAGTATTAGTATAGGAAAAACAGTATATATGGAGTTTGATACTATCCGCAGTTTCGGGCATCCAGTGGGGGTCTTGGAATGGATAAGTGGGAACAACTCTACTCTGCATGTACATAGGAGTGGAACTGCTGGGTCTTCAAGCATCTTTACCTTTACCATAATGGCAACCTGCATTCCAAAGGGGTTCTGACTTTTATTTGCAGAGGCAGTGTATGAGGGACTGTATTTCTACTGCTCCACACTTGATATTTTTATCCTTCTAATTTTTTGCCATCTGATGAGGTATCTCATTGCAATTTACTTTGTATTTTCTTGATTGCTGTTGAGATGGAGCATCTTTCCATATGTTTGTACATTTGGATTTCCCTTTGTGTGTGTGTGTGTGTGTGTGTGTGTGTGCGCGCGCCTATTCAAGTCTTTCTGTCCTTTTTTAAATTGGTTTGTCTGAATGTTTATATCTTCATTTATAGTTCTTTATTCTGGATATAAAGGTTTTTTTCCCTTCATTGTGGATTATGTATTGCAGATATCTGCAGATTTTCTGATTTTCTTTCCACTCAATGACTCTATTGATGAAAAGCTTATAATTTTAATGTATTCAAATTTATTAATTTTTCCCTTTATAGTTACTGCTTTATTTAAATATCCTGAGTAAAAATATTTTCCTACAGTGTCTTTATTGTTTTGCCTTTCACACTTAAGTTTATAATCACCAGGATTGATTTTTGTGAACACTAATAGGTGCAGAGAACAACAAATTTTGTTTTACTTTTTATGTTTGTTATCATATGCAATTGTTCTGGCATCATTCGCTGAGGAGAAAGGACTGCCTTTGCTCCCATAGGCCTGCAGTGTCACCATTGTCAAAAATCAAGTGCTCATGTTCAGATGGGTCTGTTTCTGGACTATTCTCTTCCACTGGCTTATTTGTCTATTGTCTATTCCGTCCCTTAAGACCTCACTCTGTTAATTACTACAGCTTTATAATGAGTTTGTATATCTTCTTTGTGTCTTGGCTATTCTTAGCTTTTTAAATTTCCATGTAAGTTTTAGGAGCATTTTGTCAAGTTCCACAGAAAATCCTGGTGGGAAATTTATTGGGAATCCATTGAATCTAGATCAGCCATGGGCAAACTACGGCCCGCGGGCCGGATCCGGCCCGTTTGAAATGAATAAAACTAAAAAAAAAAAGACCGTACCCTTTTATGTAATGATGTTTACTTTGAATTTATATTAGTTCACACAAACACTCCATCCATGCTTTTGTTCCGGCCCTCCGGTCCAGTTTAAGAACCCATTGTGGCCCTCGAGTCAAAAAGTTTGCCCACCCCTGATCTAGATCATTTGAGGGAAAATTGACATCTTTAGAACATTGAGTTTCTCAATCTTTGAGTCCTCTTTAATTTCTCTCTAACATTGTTTTATAATTTTCTTGGTAGATGTCTTACATCTTACACTTTTTTTGTTAGATTTATTGCTATATGTTTGGTGAGGCTGTTGTCAATGACATCTTTTTTATGTTGGTTTCTTTTTAAACTAAATATATTTTTATTGATTTCAGTGATGAAGGGAGAGGGAGAGAGAGATAGAAACATCAATTATGATAATCATTTATCGGCTGCCTCCTGCACGCCCCCTACTGGGGGTCAAGCCCGCAACCCAGGCATGTGCCATTGACCAGAATCAAACCCAGGATCCTTCACTCTGCAGGCCAACGCTCTGAGCCAAACCAGCTAGGGCTTATATTGGTTTCTTATTTGGCTGGCATATGTAGGAATGTATGGGATTAAACCTTTGAGTACTTGTTAACTTTTCTGGAAATATCTTGAATTTATCCTCATAGTTGATAGCTAATTTAGCCACAACTAAGCAGCCATAGATTATAGATGATGAATGAATGGGTGTGCCTGTGTTCCAGCAGAACTTTATTTACAAAAACAGGAGGCCAGGCCAGTGTTTGCCATTTCCTGACCAGAATTTCTGTTTGTAAGTTTTTTGTATGGTGTTAGTTGGAAAAGGGTGCTCTTTCTTGAGGATGTGGAGATGAACTTGGTGGCCTGAAGACTGTTGGATTGGTTGGTAGTCTTGTCTGGTGTAATGAAGATAAAATGTGCATCGAAGCCCTTGTCAGGTTAGGAAACTTTCTCAGTTTCTTTGGATCCTTCAAGCAGAAGTAAGTTCATTTTCTAGGCTTACGGTAGGCAAACCTTTAAATTGGAAAAAGAATAGGTGTCTATGATATATCTTAGTGTAGTACATTTTTAATTGGGCCATTACAGTTTACTTTTATGAAATCATGAGTTACTGAATTAAACCATTTGGAAGTATAGTCAATATCAAGGGAGAAATAAAATGTGAACTATAATACTGTAATTTTTTTAATACAAGAATTCTCTGCTTCTTTTTAAAAAATATGTTATTATTGATTTCAGAGAGGAAGGGAGAGGAAGAGAGAGAGAGATAGAGATATCAGTGATGAGAGAGAATCATTGATCAGCTGCCTCCTGCACGCCCCCTACTGGGGATCGATCCTGCAACCCAGGCCTGTGCCTTGACTGAGAATCGAACCATGACCTCCTGGTTCAATGCTCAACCACTGAGCCACAGCAACTGGGCAATTTTTTTTTTTTTTAGTCAAAAAGTTAAAATTTGGGTATTTACTCTCTTAATTCAGCAAAGTACATAGAGTATACAAATTAAGAATCTTCCCTCAAATTACCTTTAAGGATGGCTGTGTCATGCTGGTTTTTTTGTTTTTGTTTTTACGTTGTTTTGTATTTGTTTGTTTTTTAATTCTGGAAAATTTCAAATACCTGAAAATGAAAAGAATAGTATATGATCCCCCATGTATCCATCACCTAGCCTCAGGAATGATCAGTTTATGGTCAGTCATTGTTTCTTCTTTATCACCACATAGTTTTGAATCGTGCTAGGTTTCTTAAATTAAAATTTTAATTTTTACTTAGTTTAGGCACTTTGGAAACTCTACAACATCACCAAAGAATTTGCTATATAGAAAATCAAGAAGTAAGGACTATGATGTATACACTGATAATATCTGCAATCAGGAACCAGAAGATAATTTTGCTAAAGAGCTTCAACAGCATATACAAGCTAAAGAAATGGCAAATGCTGATCAGTCCTTATTGTCTCATAAAGAATCCATGAAGAAAGAGGAAGCAAAGTGTACACAGGAAGGTAAAGGTAAAACTATTTAATCATTTAAAGTCTATCTAGAGGAGCAATCACTTTGTTCATGACTTGGGGGGTGGGGGTTCACCTGCATTTTCTGATAAGACTAGAGGCCCAGTGCACGAAATTCGTTCATGGGTAGGTTCCCTATGCCTGGCCGGCCATCAGCGCTGATCAGGTTCCCCGCCTCACCGCCTCCAACCTCCCAGCCTCCTCCTTCCCTCGCTCCCTCAGCGCCCCGTCACCACCGCCTGCTGGTCACCCGCCATGTTCCGCGCCACACCCTGATGGTCAGCGCACGTCATAGCGAGTGATTGAACTCCTGGTCGAACTCCCGAGGGGACACTTTGCATAGTAGCCTTTTATATATATAGAAGATCATGATTTATATGGATCTTTACTTCAGATGTGAGACACCCTTCAACACCTGGCCACTCAGTATACAATGCTCACTGAGTTTGCAGGAGGAGCTGGGAGTTCAGGAGGGTTCTCAAAGGCCATGACTACTTTGAAAGGGAGAATGCTAAATCCCAGCCTTTGCATGTAAAAGGGACAAGATATACCTGTTTGTATTGCTATCAGCTGAAGATGAATTGACTCAGTGTCAAGGATGGTGGTGTGTCAGACTAATTTCACATATGTATTCTTTTAGATGTCTTAGTTTCAGGTGTACAGCTTAGTGATTAGTCAGTTATATAACTGTAAGGTGAGTTATATAAATAAGTCCAGTACCCATCTGACCCCATACATAGTTATTACAGTATCATTGTATAAATGCAATACTTGATCCTCATTTACTGCCTCCCCCCTTAAAATGCTTTTCTGTTTAATATGGGTCATAGATGAGTTTAATCTGTATGAAATGTTTTCAGTGGAAAATCTGATAGTAATCTACACAGTCAGTTTAAACATTTGAAGTTTTACTGTTATAGTGTTATGGTAGTTCCTAATTAGATTCCTCATACCCTGAACACTTCAGAAGGATCTGGCTTGTGGCTAGACCGGGGACCGAACCTGCAATGTAGGTATGTGCCCTGACTAGGAATCAAACCTGAGACCTTTTGGTGTACTGGCGACGTTCCAAACAACTGAGCCACACCAGCCAGGGCTGCTATTGTGCTTTTATATCATCATTAAAGTTAATTTTCTGTTTTCAGATGTTAAACAAAAAAATAAAAACTTTAAAGCTGCCCATAAGAATGGTAAACAGAAGAAAATGAAGCGGAAATGGCCCGGCACTGCAGACAAGGGATCATATGCATCACTGAGGAACAGTGGCTCACAGGGACAGGTAAAAGGACCATTTCTGCTTACCCTCAGTGACAAGGCACAAAATGAGGGTTATCAGTAGTGAAATCTCCGACCGCAGTGGGCTACACGTTCTTGCTCACAGAGGAGCTGCCAGCACCCCCTTTAAGCCCTCTTGCTGCACCGTTGCCACGCATATATGCACCTAAGTATTCCCTTCATTTGGTTTACATTGACTTGATTTTTGAGTGTTGTGCAGTCAGTGTATATGGATTGACAGACGGGTAATGGGGAGAAAATACAATAATCATGAGCATATTTCAAAGGCCACAGAGTCTTACAAAGTTTCTGCTGTTGCAGTCCCTGGTCTACTGGGTGTTAACTCCCTCTGAAAATCCTATATAATAAAAGCCTAACATGCAAATTGACTGAATGGCACAATGACTGGCAGAATGACCGGTCGCTATGATGTGCACTGACCACCAGGGGGCAGGCGTTCAATGCAGGAGCTGCCCCAGCCTGCAGCCCCCAGACCAGCCCAGGCAGGTGCCAGTGGGGGCCCCCTGATCACCCTGCCTGTCACCCCACTTGGCCCTGATCGCTGGCCAGGCCTGGGGACCCTATTCGTGCATGAATTTCTTGCACCAGGCCTCTAGTTAAAAATGAATATATCTGAGCATTGGCCTTACCACCCACCCCTACCCTTCTTTTAGTTTGATTTTGCTTGTAGAAGTTCTGTACATGTAAACAAGGTGGGACAATAAGTGACTCCTCTGGACTCGGCCTTTCTGAGGGCTTCTGAACTGGCAGCAACTGTTTTTATCAGGTTTGTCCATAGGGACATGTGCTAAATTACTAGGAATACTAAATTGTCTATACCAGTGGTCGGCAAACTGCGGCTCGCGAGCCACATGCGGCTCTTTGGCCCCTTGAGTGTTGCTCTTCCACAAAATACCACATGCGGGCACGCATGTAGTGTGCAATTGAAACTTTGTGGCCCATGCGCAGAAGTCGGTATTTTGTGGAAGAGCCACACTCAAGGGGCCAAAGAGCTGCATGTGGCTCGCGAGCCGCAGTTTGCTGACCACTGGTCTATACTAATAAAAGGGTAATATGCTAATTAGAACAGACCTCTTTTGGACATCCTTCCGGACAAAGCCATGGTGGCAGGGGCGGAGGCAGAGGTGGTTAGGGGTGATCAGGCCGGCAGGGGAGAGCAGTTAGGGGCTTTCAGGTCGGCAGGGGAGAGCAGTTAGGGATGATCAGGCTGGCAGGGGAAAGCACTTAGGTGTGATCACGCCGGCAGGGGAGTATTTAGGGGCAATCAGGCAGGCAGGCAGAGGTGGTTAGGAGTGATCAGGCAGGCAAGTGAGAAGTTAGGGGCGATCAGGCAGGCACGCAGAGTGGTTAGCGGTGATCAGGCAGGCAGGCAGAGTGGTTAGGGGTGAGCAGGCAGGTAGGCCAGCTGTTAGGAGCCAGTGGTCCTGGTTTGCAAGAGGGTGCAGGCTGGACTGAGGGACCTCCTGCCCCCCCCTCCCCCTGTACACTAATTGCGTGCACCGGGCCTCTAGTCAAGTTATAACTGTCACTGAAATGTATGGTGCACTGAGGTGTTCCCAAATGCCAGAATGTAGAGGACTTACTCTGAGGTCTTATTACCCACCTAAGGAGTCCTGGCTTTTATCAGGCATTGTATTCAATTTCTTCGGAGAACAGCCCTCTCTTTTGCCCAGGGTAAACTTCTCATTGATTGTGTTCTGATGAGGGGTGGGAAGAGAGAACTTGTTATAATAGCTTTGTTTGTTTCCATGTAGAATTTTAATTTGTCTTCAGTTATGGCCTCATTTCTCAGACTCCACCTAAACCGAGCCTCCAGCTTAAAACCTGCTTTTCGTTTATCAAAAATCTGCCAAGAACCTGTTGAATTCTCTCAATTAACTTCATGCCCTCCTTCTGTACTTTATTTCTGTGGAATGTCAGGAAGCCATACTAGTTCAGTAAGCCATCCTGGATCAAAAGCAGGAAATTTTTTTACTTAAAACTGCTTTATATAGACTCCTTTACAAAAGCGGGGGCGGGGGGGGGGGGGCAAAGTTTTACTGTCATGTTTGTGTGCATTCTAAATTATGTAGAGAACAGCAAACATCAAAGCACTGAGTTTATAGCTAGTTGTGTGAAGAAAAGTATTAAGGCAGTAATTTGTATTTTGGATTATTTCATTGCCCTCTGAAAAGAATCATATCAACTAGTAATACTCATCGCTAATATTATTAAAACGGGCTCTCCAAGGGCAGCTGCCAGCCCTGGGCTTCTGCTACAGTGGGTACCTATGATTGCAGCTGTCATTTCAGAACAGCTCCAGCAGCAGTTAGAAAAGCATTCCTGAAAGTAAAGTTAACCTGATTAAAGAGAACCGGGCAGGTCTTTCTTCTTGTCATCAGGACTGCCACCTCCTCTGTCACCAAAGCTGTGAATTATGGGGAAAAGGATAGGCTTTGGTAGCTATGATATATCTTAGTGTAGTGCATTTTTATTTTATTTTTTTTTCTAAATATATTTTATTGAATTTTTACAGAGAGGAAGGAAGAGGGATAGAGAGTTAGAAACATCGATGAGAGAGAAACATCGATCAGCTGCCTCCTGCACACTCCCCACTGGGGATATGCCCGCAACCAAGGTACATGCCCTTAACCGGAATCAAACCCGGGCCCCTTGAGTCCGCAGGCTGACGCTCTATCCACTGAGCCAAACCAGTCAGGGCTAGTGTAGTGCATTTTTAAAAAATTTTTAAAAAATATATTCTATTGATTTTTTTACAGAGAGGAAGGAAGAGGGATAGAGAGTTAGAAACATCGTTGAGAGAGAAACATCGATCACCTGCCTCCTGCACGCCCCCTACTGGGTATGTGCCTGCAACCAAGGTACATGCCCCCTACCAGAATCGAACCTGGGACCCTTCAGTCCACAGGCCGACACTCTATCCACTGAGCCAAACCGGTTAGGGCGGTGTAGTGCATTTCTAATTGGGCCATTGCCATTGCCCTGGTTTTATTTATATTGCTAAGTCATCTCATCTTTTTCTTTAATACAAGAAAATCAAATATGTTATTACTTGCAATAAAAGGGGTCTGCTGCAGTACTGTAGGCCTGTATGTTTTGTGCCAAGGGGGCATTTAGTCACTCATTTGGATTATTGTAATATTAATTCACATACACTGAATGGAATTTTATCTCTGTGTGTTTGACTAAGCTAAACTTGGGAGCTATGGCATATTGAATGATTTTTTGGTTCTCTAAATAAAAATTAAAGAACAGAACCAAGGTAAACACAATCATTACAAGAGCCAGCCAACTTTTTCATAACGGACCAGATAGTGCATCTTTTTGACTTTGTGAGCCATATTGTCTCTGCCACAACTAAGCAGCCATAGATTATAGATGATGAATGAATGGGTGTGCCTGTGTTCCAGCAGAACTTTATTTACAAAAACAGGAGGCCAGGCCAGTGTTTGCCATTTCCTGACCAGAATTTCTGTTTGTAAGTTTTTTGTATGGTGTTAGTTGGAAAAGGGTGCTCTTTCTTGAGGATGTGGAGATGAACTTGGTGGCCTGAAGACTGTTGGATTGGTTGGTAGTCTTGTCTGGTGTAATGAAGATAAAATGTGCATCGAAGCCCTTGTCAGGTTAGGAAACTTTCTCAGTTTCTTTGGATCCTTCAAGCAGAAGTAAGTTCATTTTCTAGGCTTACGGTTGGCAGACCTTTAAATTGGAAAAAGAATAGGCTTTGGTGTCTATGATATATCTTAGTGTAGTACATTTTTAATTGGGCCATTACAGTTTACTTTTATGAAATCATGAGTTACTGAATTAAACCATTTGGAAGTATAGTCAATATCAAGGGAGAAATAAAATGTGAACTATAATACTGTAATTTTTTTAATACAAGAATTCTCTGCTTCTTTTTAAAAAATATGTTATTATTGATTTCAGAGAGGAAGGGAGAGGAAGAGAGAGAGAGATAGAGATATCAGTGATGAGAGAGAATCATTGATCAGCTGCCTCCTGCACGCCCCCTACTGGGGATCGATCCTGCAACCCAGGCCTGTGCCTTGACTGAGAATCGAACCATGACCTCCTGGTTCAATGCTCAACCACTGAGCCACAGCAACTGGGCAATTTTTTTTTTTTTTAGTCAAAAAGTTAAAATTTGGGTATTTACTCTCTTAATTCAGCAAAGTACATAGAGTATACAAATTAAGAATCTTCCCTCAAATTACCTTTAAGGATGGCTGTGTCATGCTGGTTTTTTCGTTTTTGTTTTTATGTTGTTTTGTATTTGTTTGTTTTTTAATTTTGGAAAACTTCAAATACCTGAGAATGGAAAGAATAGTATATCTCCCATGTATCCATCACCTAGCCTCAGGAATGATCAGTTTATGGTCAGTCATTGTTTCTTCTTTATCACCACATAGTTTTGAATCGTGCTAGGTTTTTTAAATTGAAATTTTAATTTTACTTAGTTTAGGCACTTTGGAAACTCTACAACATCACCAGAGAATTTGCTACATAGAAAATCAAGAAGTAAGGACTATGATGTATACACTGATAATATCTGCAATCAGGAACCAGAAGATAATTTTGCTAAAGAGCTTCAACAGTATATACAAGCCAGAGAAATGGCAAAAGCTGCTCAGTCCTTATTGTCTCATAAAGAATCCATGAAGAAAGAGGAAGCAAAGTGTGCACAGGAAGGTAAAGGTAAAACTATTTTATCATTTAAAGTCTATCTAGAGGAGCAATCACTTTGTTCATGACTTGGGGGGTGGGGGTTCTCCTGCATTTTATGATAAGACTAGAGGCCCGGTGCACGAAAATTCATGCACTGGGAGTGGGTCCCTCAGCCCGACCTGCACCCTGTCTAATCTGGGAGCCCTCAGGGGAGCCCTCGCCAATCCAGGAGTTTCTGTCTGTCTTTGTAATCATATGAGCGAGTTGTCTGAGACCCCCAACCCAGTTTGGTTTGTTGCTCACAGAATAATAGAGGCATTTTTTTTTTTCTTTGCTTCATTGGTGGAGATTTCCTGGAAGTTTTAGGATATTTTCCCTTTAATTTTTCCTAGACACTCTAATTTTACTTATGTCTCTCACCTTTGCTTTCCCTCCACCCCCCACCGCAACAGTAACTTGCTCCAGGCTCACTTTGCTCTAGTGTCTAGGACAGTGATGGCGAACCTATGACACGCGAGTCAGAGGTGACACGCGAACTCATTTTTTTGGTTGATTTTTCTTTGTTAAATGGCATTTAAATATATAAAATAAATATCAAAAATATAAATCTTTGTTTTACTATGGTTGCAAATATCAAAAAATTTCTATATGTGACACGGCACCAGAGTTAAGTTAGGGTTTTTCAAAATGCTGACACGCCAAGCTCAAAAGATTCGCCATCACTGCCCTAGACCATAAACTCCATTTCAGATTTTTTAATCTGTTGTATTTATTGATACATCCCAAATATATTCCTTGTGCAGCACATACTTGATGTTGAACAAACATTTGTTAGTAGGAGATCGGTCTGCCACCAGAACTATGATTCCCAGCATTCCTGGTGCTCCCTGTGCTCTGGGCTTCCTCTTCCGGTCCTGGGGCTGCCACCAGAACTACTATTCCCAAAATTCCTGGTGCCCCCCACACTCTTGGTTTGCCCTTCCTGCTCTGTCTCTGTACCACAGCCTCCCACTCTGCCAAGTCCTCCAAGCCGCCAGCTCTCCCTCTCTGCTCTCCGTCTGGCAGCTTGGTAGCCAAGTTCGCCAAGCCGCTCTACTCTCAGCTGGCTCTCCCACTCTGCTCTCTGCCCAGTGGCTAGGCGAGGCGACCAAGGGAGCCACATCCCCCCAGGCTGCCGGCTCTCCCGCTCTGCTCTCTGCCTGGCTCCTGTGTATGCAAATAAACCTGCCATTTTTGTTGGGTTAGTTTGCATACTCACTCCTGATTGGCTGGTGAGCGTAGCGGAGGGATGGTCAATTCACATGTTTCACTTTTATTATATAGGACTAGAGGCACAGTGCACGAAATTCGTTCATGGGTAGGTTCCCTAGGCCTGGCTGGCAATCAGGGCCAATCAGATTCCCCGCCTCCCCGCCTCCAACCTCCCAGCCTCCTCCTTCCCTCCCTCCTTCAGTGCCCCGTCACCACCGCCTGCTGGTCGCCTGCCATGTTCCATGTCACCCCCTGGTGGTCAGCACACGTCGTAGCAAGTGATCGAACTCCTGGTCGAACTCCCGAGGGGACACTTTGCATAGTAGCCTTTTATATATATAGAAGATTATGTTTTATATGGATCTTTACTCCAGATGTGAGACACCCTTCAACATCTGGCCACTCAGTGTACAGTGCTCACTGAGTTTGCAGGAGGAGCTGGGAGTTCAGGAGGGTTCTCAAAGGCCATGACTACTTTGAAAGGGAGAATGCTAAATCCCAGCCTTTGCATGTAAAAGGGACAAGATATACCTGTTTGTATTGCTATCAGCTGAAGATGAATTGACTCAGTGTCAAGGATGGTGGTGTGTCAGACTAATTTCACATATGTATTCTTTTAGATGTCTTAGTTTCAGGTGTACAGCTTAGTGATTAGTCAGTTATATAACTGTAAGGTGAGTTATATAAATAAGTCCAGTACCCATCTGACCCCATACATAGTTATTACAGTATCATTGTATAAATGCAATACTTGATCCTCATTTACTGCCTCCCCCCTTAAAATGCTTTTCTGTTTAATATGGGTCATAGATGAGTTTAATCTGTATGAAATGTTTTCAGTGGAAAATCTGATAGTAATCTACACAGTCAGTTTAAACATTTGAAGTTTTACTGTTATAGTGTTATGGTAGTTCCTAATTAGATTCCTCATACCCTGAACACTTCAGAAGGATCTGGCTTGTGGCTAGACCGGGGACCGAACCTGCAATGTAGGTATGTGCCCTGACTAGGAATCAAACCTGAGACCCTTTGGTGTACTGGGCGACATTCCAAACAACTGAGCCACACCAGCCAGGGCTGCTATTGTGCTTTTATATCATCATTAAAGTTAATTTTCTGTTTTCAGATGTTAAACAAAAAAATAAAAACTTTAAAGCTGCCCATAAGAATGGTAAACAGAAGAAAATGAAGCGGAAATGGCCCGGCACTGCAGACAAGGGATCATATGCATCACTGAGGAACAGTGGCTCACAGGGACAGGTAAAAGGACCATTTCTGCTTACCCTCAGTGACAAGGCACAAAATGAGGGTTATCAGTAGTGAAATCTCCGACCGCAGTGGGCTACACGTTCTTGCTCACAGAGGAGCTGCCAGCACCCCCTTTAAGCCCTCTTGCTGCACCGTTGCCACGCATATATGCACCTAAGTATTCCCTTCATTTGGTTTACATTGACTTGATTTTTGAGTGTTGTGCAGTCAGTGTATATGGATTGACAGACGGGTAATGGGGAGAAAATACAATAATCATGAGCATATTTCAAAGGCCACAGAGTCTTACAAAGTTTCTGCTGTTGCAGTCCCTGGTCTACTGGGTCTAGACTCCCTCTGGAAAAAAAAAGAATATATCCAAACATTGGCCTTACCACCCACCTCTACCCTCCTCTTAGTTTGATTTTGCTTGTAGAAGTTTTGTACATGTAATCAGAGCGGTTCAATAAATGACTCTGGACTCGGCCTTTCTGAGGGCTTCTAAACTGGTGGTAACCATTTTTAATCAGGTTTGTCCCAAGGGACATGTGCTAAATTACTAGAAATACTAAATTGTATATTTATACACAATCTTGCTCCGCCCCCATATTTTACAAATGAAGAATCAGGCCCTGAGGTTTCAGGTGACTGCCATGGCCACCCAGGGCCAGGCCAGTGCTGGCACTTTGTGTTTTGACCCCCCCCCCCATGAGTATTTCCTTTCATTTGGTTTACATTGACTTAAAAGGTTATTCAGCCAAAGCTGAGAGCTTTTCTATATGAGAAACAAATCTAAGTATATATGTTACAATGTAATAAGAGAACCAAAGATTTAAATTGACGTATTTATAAGACAATTATTTGATAGTGCTCAGTGGAAATTTGACATTATTATGAAGCAGACATATAAACATACAGCCACCTCCCTTCTTTGTATTTCTCAAACTATTAAGAAATTTGATGTGCAGAAGCTAGAAGCTGTATTACAAGTTAACACACTAGCAGTGGTTTATGCTTCTAGAGAGCTAAAATGTATTATGAGATCCCCTTTTGTTTTTATACCTTTATCACCATCTTTGAGGTGATAGTTCTAGTTCTGGTTACATTTGTTTTCTGTTGTTTTTTTTTATCCTCGCCTGAGGACATGCTTAGAGAGGAATGGAGAGAAAGAAATATCAACCGATCGGTTGCCTTCCTTATGCTCCCTGACTGGCGATTAAACTCTCAACACAGGTATGTGCCTTGATCTCACACCTTTTGGTGCACAGGCCAACACTTAACCAAATGATCCACTCAAGTTGGGCTACATTTGTTCATTTGAGCTGGTTAGTATACTTAGCTCACACCCAGAGAGCATCTCATTGAAATGAAACATTATACTGCTTTTAGTTTTTATTATTTTCAGTTTTGTCTCCATTGTTCTAAAGAGCCTTGTTCTTGCCTGGCTGGTATGGCTCAGTGGTTGAGCATCGACCTATGAACCAGGAGCACAATGTTTGATTCCCGGTCAGGGCACATGCCCAGGTTGTGGGCTCGATCCCCAGTAGGGGGTGTGCAGGAGGTAGCCCATCAATGATTATTTTTCATCATTGATGTTTCTATTTCTCCCTCTCCCTTCCTCTCTGAAATCAATAAAAAAATATTTTAAAAAATAAAAATAAAGAGCCTTGCTCTTACATTTCGCTTTCTATCACAAGTAGTAGCACTTTTATTTTTTTATTCATTTAAAAAAGTAAGGGCAAAGTACAATAAAATATTCAAATTGTATAAATACTAAAGTTCAATGATAGAATGCTGTTGAAACTGGCAAAACATTCACTTTTCAACTGGTGTACAAAAGTCCAGATCTTATATGTGAAGGTCAATTTAGAAAAATCACTTTTTAATGTTTTGTATGTGTTTTAAAATAATTTGTGCAATGAAATAAAATATTTCATTTTCCGTTTCTCACATTTAGTTTTTTGTTTTTGTTTTCAAAGGATGATAAACCTAAAGAGAATCAGCAGCACGTGCAAATGAATCAGGGGTTCATCAACCAACATACAGTGGAGCGAAAGGGAAAGCAAGTTTGTAAATATTTCCTTGAAAGGAAATGTATTAAGGTACAAAAAATGTGTATGCAAAAACATACTAAAATGGAAGGTGTAGCAAAAATGTACTAAGATTGACTCCTATTTCCATTAAACACTCTAAAAGCATACCTGTTTCCTCCTGGAAAATGTTCACTTAGAAAATTTTACTAAAATACTTTAAGTTTAAGAAAGATAATTTTTAAAAAATGTTTTGTATTACAGATGTTTAGGCCTTAAAATTTTAAGTAGATAAATATGATAACTCATTAAGAATTGGACCATATAGCTTCTAAGACTATTTTTTTCTGGAATTATTTGTTTATCTAAAGTTTAGTAGGAATTGTAATGAGTTAACTCTGAGAAATAATTTATTTTCTTTGTTCCTTCTTTTGGCCCAGGGAGACGAATGTAAATTTGATCATGATGCAGAGATAGAGAAGAAAAAGGAAATGTGTAAATTTTATGTACAAGGATATTGTACCAAAGCTGAAAACTGTCTGTATTTGCATAATATCCTTTATTACAAGATATAACTTTACTCTTCATAAACACTTATGTGAACATTTAAAATATGTACAGTTTTGAATGGAACCAGTGTTTTAGCTATGGCAAAGACAAGCCATACTTTATTATCCAAGCCCAATTCACTATTGAAGTGATTCAGTTGTATATAGATTTTTTTATTTCACGTAAGAAAAGAGGGATCCCTTAGAAAGTCTCTCAGATGAAGTATAGTAGGTTTTGAGACCGGTTTAAGTCCAGAAAGACTTCGTCAGAATTTCTGCTGTGACATTCACTCATTGAATCTAACAGAGGCAGGACTGCATTATTTGGGAATGCTTGTTTTCTGTATATTTTGTATTCTGTAGGGGTTAAGTTTTCCTTGATTTGAAGCTAACCCTCACTTCAGAGCATAGGGTACAGACATGTTGTAAAAACATGAACATTTTAAGTTAATAATACGTTTGGTTACTTTTAGTCATTCAGAACAGGAAATCACAAATTCTAACCTGAGATTCTTTTCCTGGGAAACAATGTTGACATTGTATAAATTGATTCTTATACGTGAAGGATTCAGATTTGTTAAGACATACCATTGTCATTGACTTTAATTTCTCTACCCCAAAAGAATGTTTTAAAAATAATCACACTTCTCAGGGTATTTAAAATACACATCTCTTTTCTTTTAAAATTTTATTGACTTAAGGCCCAGTGCATGAAATTCGTGCATGGGGGGAGGTCCCCCTCAGCCCAGCCTGCACCCTCTCCAATCCGGGACCCCTCAGGGAATGTCTGACTGCCGGCCCAAGGATCGGGCCTAAACCGGCAGTCGGACATCCCTCTCACAATCCTGGACCTCTGGCTCCTAATCACTCACCTGCCTGGTTGCCCCTAACTGCCCCCTGCTGCCGGCCAGGTCGCCCCCAACTGCCCCCTCCCTGCCGCCCTGGTCGCTCCTAACTGCCCCCCTACCTGCTGGCCTGGTCACCCCTTACTGCCCCCCATGCTGGCCTGGTTGCCCTGAACTGTCTCCCTCTGCCGGCCTGGTTGCCCCCAATTGCACCCCCCCACCAGGTCATCCCTCACTAACTCCCCTGCCGGCCTGGTTGTAGGCAGCCATCTTGTGAGGGTGTGAAGGTCAATTTGCATATTGCCTCTTTATTATATAGGATTATATAATAATTATATCATAACTCATTTTAAAGAGAGAGGAAAGAAGAGAGAGAAACATCGGTTTGTTGTTCCATTTATTTATGCATTCACTGGCTGATTCTTGTATGTGCTCTGATTGGGAATCAAACTCGTAACCTAGAGCATCAGAATGATGCTCTAACCCAGTGGTTCTCAACCTTGGCTGCACATTAGAATCACCTGGAAATCTTTTTAAAAATCCTGATTTCTGGGCCTCATCCTCCAGAAATTCTGTTTCTTTGTTATGGGGTGGGGCCACAACATTAGTAACAAAGAAACAATTTCTGGAGGATGAGACCCAGAAATCAGGATTTTAAAAAGATTCCCAGGTGATTCTAATGTGCAGCCAAGGTTGAGAACCACTGCTCTAACCATTTGAGCTAACAGGCTAGAGCCACACCTCTTACTTATATCAAAGTCATCACAAATTGTTTTAGTTGGATTAAGATTGTTCTCTTCCTTAACATTTGGGATACATGAATATCCTTGCAAGTTTTATCACACAGGAGCAAAATGTTATCAAGGCGAGGGCTGCAAGTTTTCCCATGCTCCTCTGACTGCTGAAACACAGGAACTTTTGGTTAAAGTAAGTACAGTTTTAGTCATCTTTTGTTGTTATTTTTTAAAGAATTTGTTTGAATTAAGGGTGAGAATTTGAAAAGCTATTGTTCTTGAAGGAACATGCCTCCTAGCTTAGCAGATAGCATATATTAGGACTGATAATCTAAGAATTTACTTCAGCTTAGAATATTATTATTCATTTTTATATTTTTCCTTGTAGCTTGAAGGAAAATTTACACTCGTTGCTGGTATAAATTTGAGTATTCTTAGAACCTTGAATGCAGTTAGAAATGTTAATAGCTAAGCTAAAAAAGGAAACAGCAAATAGGAGAAAGGTATTCCTATTACGCTCTTGGAAGGAAAGTTAAGGATCATTGGTTGGTTGATAAATATTTTAGAGTCACATTACAGAATATTCTAGCTCTTTCAAGCCTTTTCTTTAAATATTCTTTCAGTCTGTGAGAAAGGATAATTGAAAAGTAATCGTCATTTATATTCTATCATTTCCCATATGTTATTTGGAGCAAGTCTCAAAAATTAAATTGATATATAAGTGAAAATAAAAGATTATTTTAAAACTAAGCTATACCATATTGTGACAGTTGTTTTGAACACATGCAAACGTTAGAAACTCAAAGGTGCTTATCTATACTAACAATAGAGGAATATGCAAATTCGCTGGGATGCCGTCACGTAACAACCAATCAGGATGGGGGGCAGGGATGGGGCCGCAGCAAAGAGCTCTCAGCATGCCTGTGCCGGGGGTCCAAAGGGCGCGGAGAGGAAGGGAGAGCAGATAGGCAGGGGAATCAGGCCAGGAGGGGAGAGCAGATAGGCAGTTAGGGGGATCAGGCCAGGAAGGGATAGCAGATAGGCAGGGGAATCAGGCCAGGAGGGGAGAGCAGATAGGCAGTTAGGGGGATCAGGCCAGGAAGGGATAGCAGATAGGCAGGGGAATCAGGCCAGGAGGGGAGAGCAGATAGGCAGTTAGGGGGATCAGGCCAGGAAGGGATAGCAGATAGGCAGGGGAATCAGGCCAGGAGGGGAGAGCAGATAGGCAGTTAGGGGGATCAGGCCAGGAAGGGATAGCAGATAGGCAGGGGAATCAGGCCAGGAGGGGAGAGCAGATAGGCAGTTAGGGGGATCAGGCCAGGAGGGGAGAGCAGTTAGGGGGATCAGGCTGGCAGGGGAGCAGTTAGGGGCATCAGGCAGGCAGGCAGGGGAGCGGTTAGGAGCCAGTGGTTCCAGATTGTGAGAGGAATCCTGGATTGGAGAGGGTGCAGGCCAGGCTGAGGGACCTCACCTTTCCCCCCCATGCACGAATTTCGTGCACCAGGCCTCTAGTTTTTAGATATTTTTAGGTTGTAAAATCTGAAGGGTTACTCTAGAATTAGAAGTCATACCAAATATTTATTTGTTTATTAGTATGAAATATGTATGGGAAAATGGCATGTAAAATTTGTTTTTCAGTTTCTCTTACAGTCAATATTAGATGATTACTAGGATGAATATTATTGGATCATGAGAAAAATTACAAGTATTATGATATATGTGATATGCATAAAATGATTGTTTTTTTTATATTAGGTTTTAAACCCTGACAAGAAGTCATCATGAAAACCAAAAACATAAAAATAAGGTAAAATTAAGATTTAATGCATTTTTTTTTTTCTGAAACATCTCTAGAAGTTGGCATGGAAACAGGACTTTTTCCATTTTCTTAAATAGAAGTAATTTTCTCTTTACTCCCCCACTAAAAAAATGATAAAATATTTGGTACATATGCATAGATATATAGGGTGTCCCAAAAAATGTTTGCACACTTTGAAAAATTATAAAGGCAGTGTTTATTGAAATACATTTATTTTCAAAATGTAATAGAAATCAGCTGTTAAAGAGTATTACCCTGTATATTATGGGTCTCCATGGACCTGCTTCCCCCTCTGGGTATCTTTTACATTTTTATTTTCCTCCTCTGTTTCTTTATAAATTTACCAAAGGTACATAGTTCACTAAATAGTATATTTAGTTGTGCTTGTGTTTGGGTTTTATTTAAATACTATCATGCTCTCTATTTATTGGTGACTTGCTGTTTTCACTCAACATTATCCTTCTAAGATTTATGTAAACGCATGCAGCTGTCCTTCATTCACTTTTACTCCTACATAGTATTTTAATAATTGAGTATGTTATAGTTTATTTAGTTTTTCTGTTGATGAACACTGAGGTTTTTTTCAGTTTTTTAAATACACACTGTTACTACAAATAATCATGTTCATGTCTCCTGATATAAAAGTGTGTGAGTTATCCTGGATGTATACTAAGGAATAGAATTGTTGCATCATCTTAATATTTAAGATGATACCAATCTTCTGTAAAGTGCTTGTAACAGTTTGTACTTCCACCAATTGTGTTAAAGAGCTTTTGATCCACTTGCCAACAATTTTTTTTTTTTTACCAATTTAGTAGGTGGAAAAATCGTGTCCATAGCTTTATTTTATGTACTTATTTTTAATATGTTTTTATTGATTTCAGAGAGGAAAGGAGAGAAAGATAGAAACATCAATGATGAGAGAGAATCATTGATTGGCTGTCTCCTGCACGCTCCCTTCTGGGGATTGAGCCTGACACCCAGGCATGTGTCCTTGACCAGAATCGAATCCCAGTCCCTTCAGTCTGCAGGCCAACGCTCTATCCACTGAGCTAAACTGGCTAGGGCCCATAGCTTTATTTTCATGAATGTCTTTGCTTATTGGGCTGATTGTCCTCTATAAATTGGTTTTACATATTCCGCGTATAATCCTTTGTGAGGTATGTGTGGCAGGTTTTTTTCCATTTTGTGGGCTGTCTTTTCACTTTTTTTGAGGTTTCTCAATGAGCAGAATTACTTATTTTGGCAATTTTTTTCTTATGGTATGTTTTGTGTTTCATATCTTATTTAAGAAATCCTTCCCAGTCATGAAGCTATAAAATACTTTAATATTTTTTTAAGTTTTACTTTTTACCTTTATATTTTAACTAGTAGCCCGGTGCATGAAATTCGTGCACATTAAAAGGGAATTAATTAGCGGAAATATTTTAATACTGCTATTTGCCCTTTCTCTATAATAGAAGTGTGA